CATTTTGATATCCTATCTTCCCCCTAGTTGCCAGACTTATCAACCTGCTCTTTGTCATTTGATCTGGAATCCTGGATCAGTGCTCCTGCTCATCAGAATATCTTCTCTCTTGAGCTGGTCTTAACCAAACACTGTCTCTGAAGAAAATGGAAAAAGTTGCAGAAATGATGTGGGCTTTTATAAATGACTACTTCAGAAATACTAATGAATTGACCGCCCCCCCTCTCCCCCCACAAATACCTTGGCGGCGAAGTGGTATAATCTCCATTTTATAGCTGGCGAGCTGAGGCATAGAGGAAAAAAATCAAGTGTCCATGAACTTGGGTGCCAACATTTTTGCGTACTTAGAAAACATCTGAATTAAGGTTGCTAATTTTTCAGTGCTTGATGTTGAAACTAAGGTTCATTTTAACGTGACTGTGTGTAATTTCCTATGCTGTTAAAACAAATGAGGGGGGAAAAAACAAATTTCTGTATGTGGCATCATATTGATACCCACATGGTTCATCAGCAGGATTGGAACCTTTAGAACCACCACACAGACTTGTTCCACTTAATGTGAGTAACTGACAGCAATAGTACAGTAGGTTCTCTTTGTGGGCCAACATTAGAGGAGGATGAGACACACTTAGCCAGTGAGTTTCATAGATATTTGCTGACTCCAGAGGAATTGAGAGACTGGATTTTGTTGCATTCTAGGTTCTGGACAGGGAGCGAACTCTAGTGGTCAGATCCTTCTGCCTCTCTTCTCCCACAAAGGCTGACCCCTTCTAGTGTGTCCCAGTCCTGTCTCACTATGCATGCTTTTGCTGAAAACTGTAAACTTGGTGACACTCATGTTTTGTCTTACTTTTTTTGTTTCTGCTTCGTTGCATTTTGTGTGAAGATAGTCCTTGCTTTGAAGAGTTGATAAGTCAGTCTGTGGCGCAGCTAGCATAATAAGGTGCCAAGAGTAAGAAGTAAAATTACTTGAAAGAACTATTGGGGATACAGTTGCTTGTGTAATTTCACTGAATGTTCAGATTGATGTGGGACGTGCATATGACCCAAAAATCCCTCTTTCCCAGTTTCAGGCTCGCAGCTCAGTTTTTAGAGCAGGGGTGGGCAAACTACAGCCTGGGGGCCACATCCAGCCCTTCAAATATTTTAATCCGGCCCTTGAGCTCCTGCCGGGGAGTGGAATAAGCTTGCCCTGCTCCGGCGCTCCAGCCGGGGAGCAGGGTTGGGGGCTTGCTCCACTCCGTGCATGTCATGGCTCTGCATCGTTCCCAGAAACAGCGGCATGTCCCCCCTCTGGCTCCTATGCGCAGGGACAGCCAAGGGGCTCTGCACGCTGCACCATCCCCGCAGCTCCTATTGGCCGGAAACCATGTCCAATGGGAGCTGCAGGAGGCAGTGCCTGCAGACAGGGCAGGGCGCAGAGCCGCCTGACCGCGCCTCCGCATAGGAGCTGGAGGGGGGACATGCTGCTGCTTCTGGGAGCTCCTTGAGTTAAGCGCTGCCTGGAGCCTGCACCCCTGACCCCCTCCTGTCCTCAGAACCCTCCTCCCCAGCCCCACCCCAGAGCCCGCAACCCTAGCCAGAGCCCTCACTCTCCCCCTGCCCTCGCATCCCAACCCTCAATTTTGTGAGCATTCACGCCCCGCCATACAATTTCCATACCCAGATGTGGCCCTCGGGCCAAAAAAGTTTGCCCCAGAACCA